AATGTCCACAGTATGCAAAGCAATTTATAGATTCAATACAATCCCTATTAAAATACCAATAGCATTTTTCACAGAGCAAAAATCCTAAAATTTGTATGAAACCACAAAAGATCCCAAATAGCCACAGCAATCTTAAGAAGAACAAAGATGGAAGTATCATAATATCAAATTTCAAGATATACTATAAATCTATATTCAAAACAGTGTGGTACTGGCACAAATATAGACATATAGATCAACAGAATAGAGCACCCAGAAATAAACCCATGATTATATGGTCAATTAATCTATGACAAAGGAGGGAAGAACATACAATGGGAAAAGACAGTCTCTTTAATCAACAGTGCTGGGAAAACGGGATGGGTACATGGAAAAGAACAAGATTGGACCACTTCCAGGATGCCTGGGTGGCTCAGTCGGTCAAGCATCTGCCTTTGGCTCAAGTCATGATCCTGGAATCCTGGGACTGAGCCCTGCATCAGGCTCCCTGCTCAGTGGGGAGTCTGCTGCTCCCTCTGCCCTTCACCCCACTTGTGTTCTTGTTCTCTCTCTCAAATAAAGAAAATCTTAAAAAAAAAAAAAAAAGATTGGACCACTTTCTTACACGATACACAAAAATAAACCATAAAATTTCTAAAAAACAAAACAAACAAAAAAACATAGGCAATAATCTCTTAGACATTGACCTTAGCAACATTTTTCTAGCTATGTCTTCTAAGGTAAGGGAAACAAAAACAAAAATAAGCTACTAGGGGTTGGGGGGGGTGTGCCTGGGTGGCTCAGTCCATTAAACATCTGCCTTCAGCTCAGGTCATGATTCCACGGTCCTGGAACTGAGCCTTGCATCAGGCTCCCTGATGAGCAGGGAGACTGCATCTCTCTCTTCCTGTGCCTGCTGCTCTGCCTACTTGTGCTCCTTTCTGTCAAGTAAATAAAATCTTAAAAAATAAACTACCGAGACTACATCAAAATAAAAGGTTTTACATGGCAAAGAAAAGCATCAATGAAACTAAAAGGCAATCTACTGAATAGGAGAAGATATTTGCAAATGATATATCTCATAAGGGGGTAATATTCAAGATAAAGAATGTATACAACGCAACACTACAAAGACCCTAAACAACTCAATTTAAAAATGGGCAGAGGATCTGAACACACATTCTCCAAAGAACACATACCAATGGCCAATAGAACATGTAAAGATGCTCAACATCACTAATCATCAAGGAAATGCAAACCAAAACCACAATGAGAGACCACTTCACACCTGTCAGAATGGCTAAAATCAAAAGAAAAGAACTAGCAAATGTTGGGGAGAATGTGGAGGAAAAGGAACCCACGTGCACAGTTGGTAGGCATGTAAATTGGTGCAGCCATTGTGGAAAACAGTATAGAGGTTCTTCAAAAAATTAAAAATAAAAATACTCGGACATCTGGGTGGTTCAGTGAGTTAAGTGTCTGACTCTTAGTCTCAGCAAAGGGCCATGATCTCAGGAGTCATAAGATTAATCTTCCATTGGACTCCATGCTCAGTGCAGTCTGCATGAGATTCTCTCTGTCCCTCCCCCCACTTGCACCCACACACTCTCTCAAACAAATAAAATATTTAAAAATAGATATACCTATATATCTGTTAATTCCATTGCTGGGTAATTACCCAAAGAAAATGTAAACTAATTTGAAAGGATATGTGCACCCCTATGTTTATTGCAGCATTAATAATAATAGCCAGGATATGGAAGCAATCTAAGTGTCCATTGATAGATGAATGGATAAAGAAGTGTTATAATAGTGTTTATATAGTAGAGTATCCTGATCAATGAGATTTGTCAGAGGTGCAATTATTAGTAAGAAGTGGTGTGTACATACTCACACAAACACACAGGAATATTAGCCATAAAAAATGAATGTGATCTTGCCATTTACAACATCAGAGACCTAGAGGGTATTATACTAAATGAAGTAAGTCTGACAGAAAAAAACAAACACTGTAGGATTTCACTTACATGTGGAGTCTAAAAAACAAACGAACAAACAAAAAGCAGAAACAGACCCATAAGTACAGAGAACTGATGGTCACCAGAGGGGAGGAATGTGGTGGGATGGGCAAAATGGGTGAAGGGGAGTTGGCGTGCAAGCTTCCAGTTTTAGAATGAATAAGGATAAAAGGTAGAGCATAGGGAATATAGACAATTATTTATAATTAATTGTTATAATTAATTATAACAACATTGTACGGTGACAGATGGTAGTTACAGTTGTGGTGAGCACAGCATAGAGTTGTTGAATCACTATGCTGTATGCCTGAGACTAGTATAACATTGTGTGACAACTAAACTTTGATGTAAAAAAAAAAAGGATAAAATCATAAGCAAAAATATATTTACAGTAATGTATTTATCAAAACAATTCATGTATAAGCAGACTCATGCAGTTCAAACCCTGTTGGTCAGGGGTCAACTGTATATACAAAATCAAACCATAAGGTGATACTTTTTTCATTTATAAGATTGTCAAAGATTTGAAAGTTTGATAACAATATTGGTGAGTGACAGCGTGAGTGAACAGTAACCCATAAACTGTAGGAAATAACTAATGTAACAACTCTGGAGGCAATTTGATGATACTCATAAAAATGTAAATGAATACGGTCTTGGACTCAGAAATTCTACTCCAGGAGCAAATATTCTTACACGACTGTGCAAAAGTCTACGAATAAGACCATTCATTGTATGCTTGTTTACAGTAGTGATTTAAATATTTACAACTACAACTTGTTATGGCATACCCATACGATGGAGTACTGTGCAACTATTAAGAGTTAGGTCTATTTATACTAATATGGAATGGTCTTTAAAATATATGGTTAATAGAAAGCGCAGGAAAAGAACAAAAAAAATACAATAACTCACTTGTATAAGAAAAAAGATTTTTAAAGATTTTGTTTATTCATCTGACAGAGAGAGAGAGAACACAAGCAGGGAGAGAGGCAGAGGGAGAGAAAGAAGCAGACTCCTTGCCGAGCTGGGAGCCTGATGTGGGGCTTGATCCCAGTATCTGGAGATCATGACCTGAGCCAAAGGCAGAACCTTAACCATCTGGACCACCGAGGTGCCCCAAGATACATGTTTATATATATGAATATGTGTATATACAAGCTCATAATTGCTCATCTAAAACCCTTGAGACCAGATAGTCCTTGAACCTAGAATATCTTTGGATTTTAGAAAGATCTTGTTCTGGAATTTAAGCTTTTTAAAGAGAGCAATTAGTTACATTATGGGAAGCACCCATAATCAATTAAATTGTTATTTATGCTTGGAGAAGTATTTACAGATTAAATGATAAAACATGGGAGGAGAGGGGAAGAGTTTGGGGTAAATGCATTAAATAAGATTTAGAAAAGAATTATTGAAGCTGTTTGGTGGATATTTTATTATATTATTTTATTTTATTATCTACTTTTATATCTTTTTAAAGTTTTTGAAGTTTTCCATAATAAAAGTTCTAAGATCTATTTCTGGAGAGAATTGTAAATATTAGCAGGGCAAAGTAGGATAAAACATTAGCCTCATCATTTCAAATTTTGCTGAGTTCAGATTAATTCTGATTTTGCTGCCACATGAATTATGGAAAATCCAAGGCATTTTGGTTTTGGAATTGTAAAGAAAGGACCTTAAACTCCACAACATATGACAATACAGAAAGTTGTTCAGATTAGTTTCTTCTCATAGATACAACTAGGTGTTGGAGGATGGGAGATGTAGAAGAGGGAAGAAATTTTTTACTTTCTACCTCTATGTAAGTCCAAATTTTTTAAGTTTTCACATTAAAAACTTTACACTGAAGAAAATCCCTGAGACATTTGTCTTGTGACTGCTGTCTGCCCAATTTTATTCAATACTGAATACTTGCAACAGGCTATATACTTTAAGTATTGAAGGTACGATAAATCATATGTACAAGGATATGCATTAACCCCTCATACACTTTGATCATAAATTTCTTGACAACACTCAATATATAAAACTGACAGTAGCATATAGTGAATTTTTAAATGCTTGAGTGTGTGCTTTATACATTCTTAGTCTTTAATCCTATACTAATTTTCACTATAGGATTCGGTTTCCTTCCAGATTTAAGATTTTACAACTAAGTGACTTAAGTAACGAAAAACATGGTATCAGTGAAGGACATTTTATTTGTTTAACTGTGGTAAAATATATAATCAAAGTTGAGTATTTTCCCCATTTTTAATATACAGTTCAGTGGCATTAAATACACCTGGCCAACCACCACCACTGTCCATCTCTACAACTTCCTTCACCTTGCAAAACTGAAACTCCCATTAGACAATGATTCCCATTTCCCTCTCCCCTTAATCCCTGACATTCACCATTTTACTTTGTCTCTATGAATTGGACTACTCTAAGGACCTCATGAGTGAACCCTATGATATTTGTCTTTATAGGATACTGTTAATGTCCTGAAGACACTGTCATATTAAGTCTTGAAGAGATTTATGATTAAAGCATAGGATTTTGTTTATATTGTTTTGGGTTTCACTGATTTTGTACCTGGGCATGACTTATAATAAAAACATAACCTTTTTCACTTAAATAGGTTACTGGATATTAGGAAAGCTTTCTTTATTCTCAGTTCTGTTGTTATTAAGGAACCAGGAAGGAATGGATTCTTAATGTGAATGTCTATTTTGAATGGTTATTTATTATTCCATCACTTTACCACATGCTGTATTAAGACAGGCAACATGATTTACCTAAGAGTTCTTACCTCAGAGTTTTATGTTTCAATTTACTACATGGTGTTTTTCAGCAGTCCATAGTAAAAATTAAGTATAGTACTGAAAAAGTTAGTCTACTTGAGAAAACTGTCATGACATTCAATCTCCTGTTTTTCACTGTACTTTATCAGATTATGTGTTTAAAGACAAAAGTACCATATATATAAAGAAAATGTTTATATGTCACTTTTTGAAGGTTACAGTCTTCTTCCTCCCTTGATGACTCAAGTCCAACAAATTTAATGAAAGATTCTCATGCTATCAACTGCAGGAAAGTAAGTAGAATAAGTAATATTCATGAAATAAGTGGGTGAAATTTGTTTCTTAATTATTTGATAAAAGATGCCCTCATAAAAAAAATGAACTCTTTTCATGTTTTTAAGAGGGAATATAGACTAGTGGTTGACCGCAAAGTTGCTGGACACGTGCTATGTGGGTCCATGTTGTGACTCAGACACATACTGCTGGGTAACCTCATGCTTGTTATTTAAACTCTGTGCCTCTCTTTCCTCTTCTGTGAAACAGGGACAGTAATAGCACCAAACTCTTAGAGTGATGTGTGAATTAAGTGATTTGATACAAAAACAAGCAAAAACTTAACAGTGCCTGGTACATAATATGCGCTCAATAAATGGTAGCTAGGATATTATTGTAATGGGTTCCAATTCAGTGGATTAAATGTACTCCTTATGGTCTGGAAAAAAATTTTAATACAATACACTATGAGTATTACATACTGTTTAATTCAGTTAAATACTTGCTATTCAAAAAACATTGTTGCATATATAAAACTGACTAAACATAGTGGTAAATATCTGGAAGAGTGACATACAATTTAATTCTAATGGATCCCAGAAAACAAAAAGATCTAAAGTAGGTCTATAAACAAAGTGGTATTTAAAAATAAAGTAGGAGAAAAGAGAAGTTAAATCTGATCAGGCCAAAAAGGAAATTAAAAAAAAATGTTTTTATACAGGGGGCCTGGGTGGCTCAGTTGGTTGAGCAACTGCCTTCTGCTCAGGTCATGATCCTGGAGTCCCAGGATTGAGTCCCATATCGGGCTCCCTGCTCAGCAGGGAGTTATCTTCTCCCTCTGCCTCTCCCCCTTCTCATGTTGTCTCTCTCCCAAATAAGTAAATAAAATCTTTAAAAAAAATGTTTTTATACAAATGTCATGGGTCTTTTGGTCTAGTATTTACCTTTTGCTCATACATTTAGCCAATGTTTATTAGGTAGCTATTTTGTGCCAGACAATAGGGTAGAAGAAGGGGGTTAAGTCATTCCAACATAATCTCCACATAGTGTACTTTATGTAGACATTTTATAGATCAAGTTCATCAACTTAATAAGACAACATAGGTAAATGATGTATCTTTTTTCCACCAAGCATTATTGTATTTATTTAGTGTTCAACATAATGTTTAAGACACCATACATTGCTTACAGGAATTTATATAGATGCTAAAATTATCAAAGCAAAAAGAAAATTATTTACCTAAAACTCGAGATCGTGGTTACTTTAGCAGAAGAGAAAAGAGGTTGTGATCAGTGGGCAATTGCCAGGCTAATAAGCTATCAGTAATATTATATTGGTAAATGATGTATGTTGATGAGCTACATTAACTACTGAATTGTTGGACCTGTAACTGTGTAATAGTATGATAACTTTTTGGTAGAAGCCTTTAGTTTAATCCACTTCCACTCCAAACCACTATTTTCCATTGTAGTTTCATGTGAGATGGTTTTACCATCATTTTTCTTAAAAACAAATAGCTCTTCCTCCTCAATCCAAAATCCTCAATCCGTATAATATGTACATTCATTTACTGTTACAATGTGGACTTTGCCATTAGGTGGATCGGTTAGAATAATGGCCTCAACACTTGGGCAAGCTATTAGCCTCTTTAGCCCTCAGATCCCTGACCTCATGACGTTTGAAACATGAAATGCCTGGGGGTGCCTGGCACACAGTCCTCAGTGAATGCAAGCGGCCATACGGATGAGGCAGGCCTACATCTGATCATTGCTAAGAGAGTTTCATTTCATTCAAGTAGGAACCTTACTATTTATTATTCTTTCTTTTCAGATTTCAAAAAAGGAGTCGATTCCACTAAATCCTTCTGAAATGGGGAAGCCAGAGGCTACAAGGCAAAACCAGAGTGCTGATAATTCTCACAGTCACGAGCCACTCTTTGGTAAGATTTCTTTGGCAACTGCCCGCCATTTTAGTTTTCCAAACACTTTCTTCATCATGATATTTTCAGATGTAGGAGAGCTCTAAAGGAGCAAAGACTTTTAAAACTAAGATTTTTCCCTTCAAAACCCTAAATACAATGATCATACTCGACTTCAAGATGGTTGCTACTGAATGTACCTGTCATTAAAAATCCCGTTATCAATGGAATTAGTTATGGGTATTGTTAATACATACTATCTAAATAAAACTAAAGTACTTCTATTTAGGGGGAAAATGCCCACTTCCAAGAATAAGCACTTTTAAATGTACCAATCATAAAGTGTTTAAGATGTAATTATTCATTTTAACTATGTTTATGTAGACTCAAACCAAGTAAATTGAAGTGACACAGGTTTATACTATCCATAACTAACATTGATCTACTGGAAATGTATGTCAAAGAGAATCAAAGAACTTGAAAGAAACTGGATTTCAGCTTTACAGAGAACCACACATTAATCATCTCAAATTCTATTGTACTTCGAAAGATTTCTAGAGAACTTTGGCTAACTGTAGCTGTATGTTAACCCATAATTTCTAGATCCTCTTTCTTATCTCTAACTTAAATCTTGTTTCTATGGTTTCTTATTTCCTTCTCCAATAAAAAAATCTGGTTATTTCCCCTTTTATAGGATTTTTCAGATGTTTGGAAGAGGATGCTTTTGTGTCAGCCTTCTCTTTCAGAATAAAGACGTACAGTATTTTAACAAGGCAGATTAAAGTTAAGTTTATCCTTCCAGGCTCTATGTGGACACATGCATAAACACTGGCCCCTAGCTTCCAATGGACTAGAGTCAGTACCTTTTAGTGCTGTTATTTTCTTTTCTTTTTTTTTTTTTTAAAGATTTTATTTTTATTTATTTGACAGGCAGAGATCACAAGTAGGCAGAGAGGCAGGCAGAGAGAGGAAGGGAAGCAGGCTCCCCGCTCCGCAGAGAGCCCGATGCGGGGCTCGATCCCAGGACTCTGGGATCATGACCCGAGCCGAAGGCAGCGGCTTTAACCCACTGAGCCACCCAGGCGCCCCTAGTGCTGTTATTTTCTATTTGAAAACTCATAGATCACCTCATTTATGTGCATCAAATGAGTTCTCTGCAATTTCTCTGATAGTACATGGTTATATAATAGGTGACCCATTTAAAAATATATCAGCCTTCTGCAATATAAGGCTTATGCTTTGTCTTCAGAATTTCACTGTATATTATTCTAGCCTCGCTTTGCAATTTTTAGTTTAAGTTTTTTATTTTAATTCCAGTTAGCTAACATACAGTGTAATATTAGTTTCAGGTGTACAATATAGTAACTCATCAGTCATGTACAATACTGGGCATTCATCACAACTGCCCTCCTTCATCCCCATCACCTGTCTCTCCCATCCACTTGCCCCCCTCCCCTCTGATTACCATCAGTTTGTTCTCTGTAATTAGGACTCTGTTTCTTGCTTTCTCTATTTTTTGCTCGCTTTGCCATTCTTAATGATATTCATCTTTTAACCTTCAAATGTACTTACACAGGTCTGTATTTTAATTTGATAGGTGACAGTGCCCAGCTGGATTTTGATGCCCTGTGTGACAATGATGACACAGCCATGGCTGCCTTCATGAATTACTTTGAAGCAGAGGGGGGCCTGGGAGACCCTGGGGACCTTGGTGACATCCACTGGACACTCTAGCATTTGATTCTTAATTCTTACAAATTAGGAATGTGTTAAAGCATTTCATTGACAAAAAAAAAAAAACTATATAATCTTCTGTACTGTCTTGATCTTTTATTCCCATTAATAGTCTACCAATTGTTATAGATGTGCACCTTATTTCCACGGCAGTATGGGGAAATGTGATGTTTCCCTTCACAAAGAATGGCTCAGAGTTTCCTACAGACAGATCCCTTTTCTCAGTGACATGGCTTAATACCCACTAGTTGCTATCTTTTTGTTAAAATATTTCTCATCAAGAATATCACATACATCTTGTTTTGGTTTTGTTTTTATTTTTATTTTCTGATGCAGTTTTTGAGTGTGGGGAATTTAATATATTGACATTTTTCTTTGTCTAAGATTAATTTATAATGGACTTATACTAGTAGATTTATAGAAGTTGGAACATCTCCATTTCTTGTATATTTCCTGAATTGAGGATAAGGCTTATACACTTTAAGAAAACTCTGAGCCCTTGAACACCTAAAGAGAGGGTACAATTGGTAGTCATAATTGCAGCGAATATAAACTTGGGCAAATGTAACCAGGATAGTTATGCTTGGTCAAACACTTAAGATGGGCTTTAAGTGAGAGAATTTATTTAAAACTCAGGAAAAAAAAAAAAAAGTTAAGGGATTTTCAGTTGGCTTACAGAAAAGGAAAGATCTTGGGGCCTAGATCTTGATAATTATCCTTTGCATATAAGAATTGTTGCTAATGTAACCAGTCAAGATTTTCATTACATGTAAAACCAGTTTTTGATGCAGAAAATGAGCTTAGTGAAAGATTAGCCCTGGACAAAAATACAAGCCCGAGCAGGTTAAAGATCTTTTGAGAAGTCACAGTTAAATTCATATTTTTAAAATGTTTAATGTGTGTATATCAATTTCTTGATATACATTTGGGAAAGCAATGGTCTCACTGGTTAAATTATTAGTTAACTGACCCATGAACTAGCTGTGGCCTTCTAGAATAGGCAATTACAATTAATGTTGCCTGAAACCAAAGGTAATTATACAAATGCTAAGTGTAGTTTTGAAACAGAGGCAAAGAGAAAGAATTTAAAAACCAATTTTCTAGCTATCATTACAAATTTGGAGATCATTTTTTAACTAGTAATTGAGGAGGGGCTTATACTGATTACAAGAAGAATATTTAAAATCATATATGTATGTCTACCTTTCTGAAGGTCATACTTTTATAATACTGTATGTTTTCATAGTTCTTTCTAGTTTACCAAATGTGTTTTCATATACTTTCTTTGGTGCCCCCCAAGTGAAAGTACGATAGTCTGGGAAGCTAATGGGGAAGCTGGAAGCTCAGATGTGGGGGAGCCAATGCAGTTCTCTTCCTCTATGTGGTGCTACAGCAGCTAGCTCTCCGAGTCTCGCATCAAAACAAAGCATTATTTTGGCCTTGCATATTTCTTTTGGCTGTATATAATAGATTAGAACTTTTGTCAAACTGGTTAATGGCAAACATACCACCAGGTAACAGGCCAAAAGCACACATTCCCTTCAGCTGGGACCTCTGCAGTGGCTACATGGGGAAGGAAGTATTGGCACATTGTCCTCCAGGCAATACAATATTGGAGAGTCAGCACCGCTCCCAGTTCTGGGACTTGAGGGACTTGGAAAGTTTATAATAAGCCAGAGAAATCCTACAGGATGGGGGAGACTGGTCTGCAGCAGGCTAAGCATGATTGTTCTTGCTTCTTCAGACTTAAAACAATCACATCTCCTCTTTAAGTCTGAGGCCATACCAACGTTAACAGTTTAGGGTCTAAACCATTGCAAGTTGGACTTGGCCTCCAGAGTTGACCTAAGCTAGGGGTAGCAAGGTGGGTCACTGTGACTGGATGACCTTGAAAGGAGAGGGGCTAACCCTCCTGATGCAAGGCTCTGGTAGGCAGAGTTTCTAGAGGCTATCACTGCTACATATAGAAGCACTTTTTTCTCTTTGCAAGAAGAAGCATTAGTTCATAGACTGGTGGGCAGATAGCCAATTTAAAGCTTTGATCCTTTAATAACCCACTCGAGGATTTTTCTGGACCCAGAATCCAATCCATGCAATGCAGGATAATTCTAACTCTCCCATGTTTAGTGTTTTCTCTGAAATGTGTTGCATTTACATTGAATTGCTGTTAGGAGAGACAGATATTTTTATGGCTTATGCTATATTACTTTTTCTCCTAACCGTTAATTTCTTGCATTTTGATGAAAAGCACCTACACAATGAATGAGATAATAAAAAGGATATTCTAGTGTTTTTTTTTTTTCTCCCCCCATAAGTCTAAGAATTACTTACAATAACACAGTGGAGTGGGGAAGAGCCTGGAACCAGAAAGAGCCTGCTCACCCTAAGTTTACCTGTGTGACCTCAAGTAAGCCATTTAAACACTCTGTATGTGCCTCAGTTTCCTCCTCTGTAACAAGAGGTTTGATCTCTCTGTTTACTTCCAGTTCTGATTCTATGATTCTAACCCATGGGACTTGAGCATTAGGGTCAGACTCTAGAACTGTGTTGTCGGTTATGGAGCCACAGGCCACGTGTGGCTGCTGAGCACTTGAAATGTAGCTAATGCAAATTGAGATAGACTGTAAATGTAAAATGCAAACCAGATTTCGTACATTTAGTATAAAAAGGGAACATAACATATCATATTAACAGTTTTATAATGGGACACCTGGCTGGTTCAGTCAGAGGAACATACGACTCTTGATCTCAGGGTCATGAATTTAAGCCCCAAGTTGGGCATGGAACTTACTTAAAAATAAATAAAAATTAAAAAATAAATATAAAAAATTATCTTTTAAAAAAGCAGTTTTATACTGATCACATACTCAAGTATTTTGGATATACTGAATTATATAAAACATTAACATTTTAGTTTTTACTTTTTTAATGATGCTACAAGAAAATTTTAAATTACCCATGTGGCGTATATTATATTTCTATTGGACAGTGCTGCTCTGAAACATTTTATTAAATGGATATTATTGAAGTAGACCAAAGGTTATACCGTAACTATGATATTTACCTCTAAATGCTATGGTTTAAGGAACAATTGTTTATTGATCCTTGATTTAGTATAATCTAATAAATGTTAACCTCTATCCATGTATCCAAATTTAAAACTTTTTTGAAACTAGTAAATCTGAAAATGTTCTCAGTTATTTCATTACATGATAATAACCTGAAATCAAATAAAACTTCAGGTGTATATGTTGACACCCTATTGCAATCACTAAATCTGGAAATCCACCGAGAAATAAACAGGAAAGTAGAGGATAGAGGCTTTTGGTAAATAAGTGGGATTAAAGTATTTCATTACAGTGTCATAGTGGGGAAAGGCTCTATTTATTAGTCCTATTTGAGGAATTTCTGTAGCATCGGGGCACAGTAAATGAAATAACCACTACCTAGTTATCGGACCATGTTTGGTAGTGTCATTTCAGATCCTGCTCTGAAGAATCATCTACCACTCAGGTAGGGCATTGTTTGGTTCTGGATTTGGAAATTCAGATTTGCCAAGCACAGTTATTGAGAAGAGCAGGTTAAGGATCTAAAATGATCAGAAGCCACCACGGAAAACTGCCAAACGGCCACTAGGTGTCACTTTTCCATTTCTAGAGTGCTTTGTTTTCATTAATTTTTCCAAGTTCTACAGGGCCAAGAGGAGGCATTTATGACTTGTATTTAGATTAGGTCTGCCTCTCTGGTGTGGGTTATTTTATGAGAAATACTTTTTAAGAGAAGTCTGGGAAGATGTTTCCCATATAAGAGCCTTGGTTTAAGATCCTTTCCAGATGTGGCTCCAATAAAAGTTGACCATAGAAAGAAAACTTGTCTAACCTGGAACACACTTCTGAATTCACTTGAGATTATATGGTATGTGTGTGTCACTGCTCCTACATTCCTGTGCTTAGTTTTGTTTTTTATACAATTTTTAGCTTTTTTCCAGTTTACTTGCTCTTGTCTGTATATTGGTATTTTTTAAATTTTGTGGTAAGTAATGAAAAGTGAAATTAAACTATATTTTATAATAATTACTAGTTTGAAGTTTTTTTAAACATAATATATTAAACTTCTCCCGCCCAAAAAAGTATCTCCTTAACTACTTTCTAAAGTGGAAACAGACTAGAAGATTCAATCTTCCCAAACCACAGGGCAGAGGGGTATACTGAACTACCTTCCTCTTTATATATTTGTGTGGGTTCATGAGGGTTCACTAATGGCTATAACCATCTTCTTGTCCATAATGGCACTTAGAACTTCCCAGAACACGTTGTTCTTGCAAGTGGCAACCTCAGTGGAAAGCGAGATTCTCTATTTCCTAGTTATTCACACAAAAATGGCCATCGTTTGGGCCTTTGCATCAACTTGGTTCACATAGAGTTTCCTGAGGTCAGCAGGCTGGAATATATAGATTGGTTGGGTTTTGGTTACATGCCCAAACCTGTATTTTAAAAGGTATCCTTGAAAGGGAAAGGATGTCAATAATAGCCAGCTGACTGACATTCTAGGGCCAGTAGAAAGAATGGGGACGTATGCAGAAAGGACAATGGAAAACTTGTAATTTATGATGGTTGATGATTTCAGAGGATTGCAGGTTTAGCTCTTTGAATCTAGGGTCTTGTTTTTGGTTATTTTGGGGGGCTGTGAGAGGGTAGTGAGTAGCAGCAAGTTGTGTCATGTATTATGAACACTGATCATCTTTTTTGTTTAATACCCAGCCACTAGGTGCTTTGGGGGACCCAGTCTATTGCCTCAGTGTGTGTTTGGAGACTCCGTGAAGAGTTGTCTTAAGTTCTTGTCCAGCTGTGTGTCTCTGGCATAGGATGTATTTTCTTAGGCAGTCCTAGTTCTTAAGCTCACATTTAGGTAGTATTTTCCACATTTATTCCTGTCCAAGGAAATCAGTCCCATTTTACCTTGCGAGTAAATATGTCACATTTTTTTGCAATAATTTTTTCTTCAAAAGATAACACAAAAATGAGAAGCCTAGATTATGGATATTTATAATTTAATAGAAGTCTTGA